TTTCTTATAAGACTTTTTTACGGGCTTACTAAAGGTGGGTGCCTGAAATTTACGTCCGCCTGAATATGCATATTCAAACCATATATCTTATATCATACTCTAATTACTCTAAAATATGATACTTAATTTTTAGGTATAAAAATTAAGTATCATATTTCTCTTGCTTAATGTTAGTTTATAAACTAACATTAAGCAAGAGAAATATGATACTTAATTTTTACACCCATAATTATCCATCTAGTTATACAGTCAATTTAATTGAAGTCCAATAAAAAATGTTACACATTGTTTAGATTTCATTCATTTTATGCCTATATTTTTCATAAATTTTTAATAATTTCCAACAAAATATCTCATTTTAATTAAAATGAGATATTTTATTGGAAACCATTAAAAATTAATGAAAAATATAGGCATAAAAGGAATGAAACCTAAACAATGAGTAACATGCAACACCTGATCAACCCTTGAACGTTTAAGCAAATTGTTAAGGGGTAATACGTGGCAAGATGACAAACGTTTCGGAAAACGCCTATAAAATAGTTAATAACTGTACCAAAAATTAAAACTTTATTTAGTGATAAAAAATCATTCCGCGTCACTGATATATCAAAAAACCACTCTAAAAGTTGAAAATAGCTAAGGAAAAACTCATTAACCGATGTTAACTCAAACCGTCATCTTGCCCTGTATGCGTGGTAAGTTGATAATTTGCGTTGACAAAGTTTTAGGCTATAAAAAAAAAAACTCTATGAAGTTATAAACGCCTCAAAAACCATCACCACAAATACTTGTTTATAAAAAAAGTAATACAAATAAAGGTGTACTTTTTAAAACTAATAAATTATTTATTTATATCGGACTATGCAAAAAAAACAAAAAAAACAACAACAACAACCTAGTAATCAGTTTGTAGCAAACTCCAACGCAATAAAATAAAACTATTGTCAAACAAAATATTGTATTTTGTAATAAAATAATGACTAAACAATACAAGAATAGCAAACAGTAAAAGTAAACTTCCGTTTAACATAGATAAAGGACAAGTCATTTTGCCCCGGTCATCTTGCTCCAGACTAATACAATCTTTAAAATGAATTAAAACTATACATAATCAAGTTATCATAGCCTAATACTTCTTGTATGGCTTCCAGACTACTCAAACTAAATGGGAATTTCTCGCTAACCTTAAGTTGGTGATGTACCTTAAGTTGGTGATGTTGGTGAAATAAATTCAAACGAGGATAAAAAGTTTTTTCTCAATGTCGGAAAAACCTTTTTAATACTTAACTTTCGTCACAAAAATAATATTTAAAAAGAAAGTATTAATAAATCTAGTAAAATTAATCTACTTCCTATTCAGCTATAGTCAACTGTTACATTTAGTTTTGCTTAAGAGATAACGGTAGGTCGTCATCTTGCCCCATTCGTCATCTTACCCTATGTTCCCCTACAATTAGATCATTCAGAGAAAAACACCCATAATAAGAAAATAAATAAGTAAAAAATATAACAAATATGGAAACGTTCAATTTGTTAAAAACAAGACGTAGACTTGCAGAAAACTATTAAATCTTGTCATCATTATAATATTAAAAATCCCATAAAAAATCTTCAACATAAATTGCAAAATCAAATATGAATAATATATAAAAATAAAGTGCATATTTATATTACATTTAACTGCATAAAATAATACTGAAACATATTAAACGTTTATTATAATAAACGTTTAATATGTTTCAGTATTATTTATATTTTTATAATATATTAACGTTTAATATGTTTCAGTATTATTTATATTTTTATAATAATATTATTATAAAAATATGTTATAAAGAAATAAAAAAAAATTTTTAATCTTATTCTTAAATGGTAACCCCGTATAAGAGAAAATCAAAATGCCGGTAAGAAAATAAGAATATTTCAAAACTTTTTTATTTCAAAAAAAATAGCTCCACAAAACCAAAATGGCACAGGACGTATAAAAGTCCTCTTTTAAACGTCTTTCTATCGTTTTTAACGTTTTGGACGTTTTTAACGTTTTTGGACGTTTTGGACGTCTTTTGAACGTTCTAAACACATTTTTTAGGTTCCGTGCCCACTGGGATTGAAATGCTCAGTTTTCCTTTTTTTTTTTTTTTACTCATTGTTAGCTAAAAGTTTAACAATTTCAATAAATTCCAACTGACTGGGATCTTTAGAATTTATAGAAATAGTTCATTATTAATAAAATAATTCAATTAAAATTTTATTTAATTCGACTCGATTTTTTAAGATAAAAATTTTTTTTTTTAATTACAAGCTAAAAACTTGCGTAATCTGGTGGAGGTGTCTGTATGTATTTAACAGACTTTTAATATTTTTTGCTACGCAAAATTAGAGTTGCATAGTTACTGTTATTACAATTTATCAAGTGATTCTGTTCATTTATTTATTGTTATTGTTGTTTGTATTGCAAGTCAAAATAGTTTAACAATATTTATTTTTAAAACAGCAAAAAAAAAGTATGCCGATATCAACATTTATAAATCACAAAAGTTTTGTAGTGACTAACTCACTTCAGATTCTTTAAAAAAGGGAGCCATCATGCAATCTTATTCAAAAATGCTGTCTCTTCAAGTTTAAAAAAATTATTCGTATTTCTAAAAATTCAATATATGTTCCAAGTAATGTAACATTGTTATAAATTTGCTTCTCTCAAAGATATCATAGCAGATGTTGGTAAATATTGTGAGTGTTTTTCTAAATTGATTATTGAGAACAATCTATTAGGTACGTGCGTATATGGGTTTTACGGAACCAAATTACTTAATTATATTTTTAAAATAACATTTATAAAAATCTGCTTAAAAATTTTGCTAGTAATGAGGTATTTTGTATTTTGTCTTATTTTCTACAATTTACAATAAACATAATTTAAAAAAAGTTTTGTTTAACTTTATTATATATATATATATATATATATATATATATATATATATATATATATATATATATATATTATTCAGTTACCTTATGTTTTTTTACCTTATTTTGTTTGAAAAACTTTATTAGTTTTCTGACATTGTACTTATATCAAATGTATATGCTTTTAATTTAAGTTATATTTGCAAAATAAATATATTTATATTATTATTTTTCATCGTGTAAAATCACGTTCCAATGAATTTTAGTTAGATTAAACAAATGTTAATCTTGTTGTTGTTGCGGGCAAAGTGACGAAAGATCAAAATCATAAATAAAAACTTAGATGAGTCATATCAGTGGGGTAATAATTTATTTAAACAGCAAATAAAAATATTATTTAATTACTTTTTTGCGTGTAAACACGTCGGAACATGTTTAATACATCTCTAATAAGTATGTTTGATGTAATCCAGAGCCGTGGCTAGGCAAACTTACACCCCCAACGGGGTGGAGGCAGTGAAGTTAGGAGACCCATTTGTAAATTTAGGAGCTCTGAAGGAGAATATCTTTTTTTTTTTTTTTCTTTTTTTTTTTTTGTTCTTTTCTTAAATATTCAATAAATTTGTACAATAAGATAGTTAAGATAAAAACCGTTACACAATAAAAAAAAAAAAATAGATGAAATATTACAAAATTTACAGGTATAAAAAGAAAACTAAAAAAAAAAGAACGCGGACACTCGAAGAAAACCTTCAGGTCATATCATCGAGAACCTCTCTTGAATATTAAGTACATTAAATTAATATGAAATATAAAATAAAAAACAAAACAATGTCGTAGTAATAATTAGTAATAATTAGTGAGAACGTTAATTTCGTTAGAGTATATAAATAACATTGGTATAAAGAAATTCTTGATACTTTTATACATAAATACAAAAATATTTTAAAAAGTACTGTTTTTATAAACACATAAGATGTGGATCAGATATAATACTTATATATTACCTTATGTAATAAACTTCATATTCATTTTCAGAAGAGTTAAAAAATATAAAAATATGTATTCAAAAGATAAAACAATTTCTTTCAGTTTTTGTTTTTTTGAATGAAAGATAATTATCTTTCATTCAAAAAAAATTACATTCATGGGAAAAATCAAAATTTTTCAAAACTATTTCGTTTCAAAGAAAAGCTCCTCGATACGAAATACATGACTTTCCAAAATTAGTTAAAGATAAAGGTTGCCGAATTAGATTATCATTTCTTAAGTTATATTTATTTTTATCTTTTAAGGTATATAGATCATGAAAAGAAACTGGAGATGGTTTTACATTTGTACATAAAACAATATATATTAAAAATATTCAGGTGATAAATATTTAGAATTTTCATTTGAAATAATAATGGTTTGGCATTTGCAAATCGATCTTTATAATTGATAAGACGAGCAACATGCTTCTGCTAACAATAAAGAGGTAGTAATTTAGATTTGTCAGTATTACCCCAAGCAATATTTGCATAATTGATACGGCATTGGATTAAAGAGAAATTTAATTGTGTTAAACTGTGTTTATTTAAAGCATTTCTAGCTTCCCAGCAAACATGTCAGCGTTGAATCAACGTTGAAAACCGGTCGCAAAAGGTGTTGCGGAAACGTTGACAAAGTAATCGATTTTGCAAAGATATGTAACGTTGTTAAAGAGACGTTGATTAAACGTTGTAGCGTAACGTTAAAAAAACGTTACTAAAAGACGTTACAAAAATGTCGCAACTAAACGTTGAAAAAGCGTTACTTAAAAAGCGTTACCTAGACGTTGAAAAAACATTACTTGTAAAGCATTACTTTAACGTTGTAAAAGCAGTTGATTTAGTAAGGATTTGTAACGTTGGTAGTAAAACGTCGATTTAACGTGACTCAAAAACGTCGAGTAAAGGTTGAAATATAACGTTAAAACAGCTCTTAAATGCGCTGGAGAAAATATCGCAAAATATGATTAAACGTAATTAAACTTGGCTATAGTGTATATTGAAATGGAAAATAAAACTAAATTGTATGCTGAACTCTGCACTTACAATATTTCCAAAATCGATTTTTAATACAAATAGTAACATACAATGAAAAATATAAAAAGTATACAATTTATTTATACAAAATATACAATTTATAGATAAAAATATAAATATCTTTTTTAAGATTTATGTGTGTGAGTGGATTTACAGGATTTATGTGTGTTAGTGGACTTACAGGATATCGTATCGATAAGCCAGGATATCATTGAGATGCAAAATCTAAATCAAAAACTAAAACTTGTATCATTATTAGTCTGATGGTAAATGTTTAAAAATGTTATTGAATTAGTATGATCATTATTAAATTTAAAAAGTAAAAATAAATGTATATATAAATAATTTATATACATGTATGTATACATATATATATATATATATATATATATATATATATATATATATATATATATATATATATATATATATAATATATATATATATATATATATATATATATATATATATATATATATATATATATATATATATATATATATATATATATATATATATATATATATATTGTGATCGTCATAAATAGTAAACAACCGGGGCTGGTATTTGACCGTGGCCAAGGCAGTTCTACGGACGGGACTGCATAAATATTGATGCAAATTGACTTATTTTTATATATCATATCAATATGCATTAGTATTTAATTAATAAGCATTAGTATTAGGTCAAATATCAGCCCCGGTCATTTACTAGTCGTAATAGCATAAAATAAGTAACTATTTTTAAAAATAACACAACGTTTTTTATTCTTGAAATGTTTTGAAGTAAACAACTGGGGTTGATATTTGACTGGGGCCACGGCCGGGTTTGATAAAATATAGCCGCGGCCAGGGCCGGGTTTGGGACTGGGCTGTATAAACATTTATACATCCTAAAGTATATTTTTTTAAATTTAAAATTCATGCTATATTTTGAATATATATGCATAAATGAACATCATTGTGATCATCATGATCATCATAATCATCATAACCATCATCATCATCATAATCATCATGATCATCATTATCATCAACAGTATAATAGCGAAAAGCTTGACGATGATAATAAAAATTATGTTGATGATGATCATCATCATTATAATAATCATCATCATTTTTATTATGGCAATATGTAAGGTACACTCTTCAAATTATCTTACTTCTACCACAACCATTTTATACTGAAGCTGCTACCACTCTACATGTTGATACCTAAATTACTTTAACCTTTTTTTTAAAAAAAAGGTTGTTTAATACAACGTTTTTTCTAATCTGTCTAAGATAATGCCTCCTTTTTTTTTATATCTTTTTAGAGTTACACTAAGATAATGCCTCCTTTTTTTATATCTTGTTAGAGTTACACCATCCATCTGATCATCTTCTCTTTCGGCAAATACTACACCATATAAATATTAAAGTCTATACAACAATGAAAGGATATTGTATGCCAGCATCTAAACAAATAGCACACAAATATGCTTATATCCATAATATGTGTGCAAAAAGTGCATCTTGGAAGCTTTTATTGCTTCTGGAATAAAGGTTTGGAAGCTTTTATTACTTCTCTTCAGTTTTAAGCCTCATTGTACTCTACATCTTTCAACATTAATCACATTTTTCATCTTTTTTATAAGAACATCTCTCTTTAGAACAAATTGTCCTTTTTATTATTGTAATAAGCTAATGTATAAATAAAATATTGTCTGATGTAAATCTCTGTTATTATCAGTATACTAAACCTTTTATCTTATCTTAGATGTTAGGTTCTAGAGTTTTTTGGTTAGTTTTTTAACAGTGTTATTAACTAAAGTAAGTCTAACCTTTAATCTCTAATTCATAGGTCTCATCTTTTTACTTTACCCCAGAGGAAAGCAGAGCTATTTACAAAGAAATCTTGCTCTAGTTTGACTCTTGAATATAACGGCCATACTCTTCCTGACAGTTAAACAGATTAATTCATTGTTAAACATCGAAATTGCTCTGGCTTCCAACACTAAAACTAATTTTCAATTAAACACTTCTACAGTTTGTGCTTCAGACAAGATTTCCATCATAGTCTTAAAAAAATGATCTCCAGAACTATCTGCAATTTTTGCTAAACTTTAAAAAAGTGCGATATACGTGGTTCCAATTTTTCAAAACTCGAGAAAACACTTTGACCTCTCCAAGTATCCTACAATTGCTCTTCACTCTGTTATTAGTTTCTTATAATTTTCAATGTAAAGGTTTTTAGGTTATTAAATTACTTCTTTTTAACTGCAGTAGTGAAGTTATTCTTGAAGGCCTAACCTCTTTATTTCAAGTACCTTTAAGGTTTTATATTTGCTTCTGTAATATTTTTTATCTAAAATAACAATCATAATAAAATTTAAAGTGGCTCTATTTGCTGATGACTCTACTTTATACTCTTGTCTTGACAATAAATCTTCACTTTTTAATTGCTCAGAACAAGCAGCCAATTTTAAATCTGATCTCTTTTCTGAAATAACCTAAGGCTTACTGTGGTTTATGGATTTAAATTC